TCATCACTCAGACTCACTCATCACTCGGACTCAGTCATGACTCAGACTCATCACTCATCACTCAGACTCACTCATCATTCAGACTCGCTCATCACTCAGACTCACTCATCACTCAGACTCACTCGTACTTGTACTCATGCATTCACTACACTCACTCAGGTCCACTCATCGGATGACTCATACACACTGATGTTGAGGATGTGTCAGGCGATTCGGTTGTCTCAGCACTCCTAAGGGGAGCGGCGGGGGGGTATTTCACGGGGTCCCGTTCGCGGAATTTTGTGGGGATGTCTCAGGCGGTTTGGCCATTTTCTCTTCCAGCATGTGTTGTTGTCGAAACAGATTTGGAGGATGTCTCAGGCGATTCGCTCGTCTCAGCACTCTAAAGGGGTCGGCGGGGGGGTATTTCACGAGGTCCCGTTCGCGGAATTGTGTGGGGATGTCTCAGGCGGTTTGGCCGTTTTCTGTGTCAACATGTGTCGTTGTCGGAACAGATTTGGAGGACGTCTCAGGCGATGAGCTCGTCTCAGGACTCTACGGGGGGCGGCGGGGGGGTATTTCACAGGGTCCCGTTCGCGGAGTTTTGTGGGGATGTTTTAGGCGGTTTGGCCATTTTCTCTTCCAGCATGTTTCGTTTTCGGAGCAGATTTGGAGGATGTCTCATGCGATTCGCTGGTTTCAGCACTCCTAAGGAGGGCGGCGGGGGGGTATTTCGCGGGCCCCGTTCGCGCGATTTTGTGGGGGTGTCTCAGGCGGTTTGGCTATTTTCTCTTCCAACATGTTTCGCCTTTGGAGCAGATCTGGAGGACGTTCGCGCCCAGTTTGCGGGGATGTCTCAGGCGGTTTGGCTGTTATGATGCTGGGCATCTGTCGTTTTGGGAGCAGTTTTGGGAGGATGTCGCAGGCGATTTGGTGGTTTCAGCACTCCCAAGGAGGAGGAGGAAAAGGAGGAGGAGGAGGAGGAGGAAGAGGAGGAGGAGGAGGAGGAAGAGAAGGAAGAAACGAGGAGGAGGAGGAAGAGGACGAGGAGGAGGAGGAGGAGGAGGAGAAGGAGGACAGCATGAACACGGTAGGAGCAGAAGCAGGAAGGGGATGATGATGATGATGATGATGATGATGATGATGATGATGATGATGATGATGATGATGATGATGATGATGATGATGATGATGATGATGATGATGATGATGATGATGATGATGATGATGATGCTGATGATGATGATGATGATGATGATGATGATGATGACGACGACGACGACGACGACGATGATGATGATGATGATGATGATGATGATGATGATGATGCTGCTGATGATGATGATGATGATGATGATGATGATGATGATGATGATGATGATGATGATGATGATGATGAGGAGGAGGAGGAGGAGGAGGAGGAGGAGGAGGAGGAGGACGTGGGCAAGTAGAGTAGCCGGGGCCAGACGATCGAGGGTCGATGTTCCAAAGCTTTAGGTTTTACTCAAACGCTTCCGCCTCACTCTCCTTCGCTCTCCGCTCTCTCGCACTCTTCTGCATTCATACTCACTCATGCTCAGACTCAGTCACACGCAGGCTCACTCGCACTCAGACTCGCGCATATCCATACTTAAACTTACACACGCTCAGACTCACGCTCAGAACCACTCATACTCAGACTCGCTCCTGCTCAGACTCATCATCCTTCGGTCCGGTCAAACGCAGACCGACTCACACTCAGACTTCCTCACATCCATACCCAAGTACACTCGGCTCACGCGCACTCATATTCATTAACATACACTTTTTTCTCGCACTCAGACCCAGTCAAGCCCAGACTCACTCATTCTCAGACTCATCATGCTACGATCCGCTCAATCACAAACTGGCTCACACTCAGATTCGTCCATACTCAGACCCACTCGCACACAAACGCACTCGCGCTCATATCTACTCACGCGCATACCCACTCAAACCCATGCTCAATCGCACCCAGATTAACTCACACTCAGAACCAGTCGCTCTCAGATTTGCTATTGGTCGCACTCATGCTTACAGACTGTGGGAATGTCTCGAGCGAGCGGTTCGCCCTCGCGCACAGGCGCTCATTGACAGATATCAAGAGAAAGACGTACCAAAAGAATGAGATGCACATGTGGGGAGCCCCGCGTCGAGTAATTTTGAAAAGGGGAATGCACTTCTAATCGGATTCTAATAGGGGTAGATGCACCTTGAATCGGATTCTGGTAGGGGTGGATCCACCATAGGATTCTATTTGGGCTGGGTACACCTCTCATCGGATTCCTTTAATGGTGGATGCACTTCTATTTTTTTTCCGGTGTGGATAAACCGGCAGTAGGCTTCTGTTAGGGGTGGATACACTTCTAACAGGACTCAATTTGGGGTGGGTACACCTCTAATAGGATGCTATTAGAAGTGGATGCACCATAGGCTTCTATTGGGGCCAGGTACACCTTTCATATGATCCCTCTAAGTGTGGATGCGCATCTAATGCGATTCT